GAGCAGCTGGGAAGGGAAAAACCGCCCGGAATGGAGGGGCTGGAGCATCCGGCCCTCGGGATCTTCCGGTCTCTGGGATCCTCCAACCGCCTTTGGGATCACCCAACCCTTGGGATCACCCAACCCCCTCTCTGGGATCATCCATCTTCTGGGATCACCAACCCCCTTTGGGCTCACCCAACCCTCGGGATCACCCAACCCTCGGGATCACCCAACCTCTGGGATCCTCCCCCGCCCCTGGGAAGGGTTGGTGGTACCTGCTGGCGGTTGTTGGGGGTGTAGGGCAGCATGGTGGACACGTGGAACATGATCTCATAGTCCTGGTACGTGGTGTAGAGCGAGTGGGTGCCCGTGGAGTCGGCTGCGGAGGGCGGGAAGGGCGGCTGAGGGGGATCCGGGGACACCGCGGGCCCCCCGGAGCCCCGGCGGCTCCCCCGGGATCCCGGCACTCACTCTTGGTGTCCAACTGCGCCGCGTACTTGCTGAAGGACTTGAGGGAAACCTTCTCCCCCAGGAGCGCCAGGAACTCCTCCAGGGCCGGCCCGGCCTCCTCGTTGTTGTACATCTCCTCCTCCGAGCTCTGCCCGGCCTTGCAGTACAGAATTCCCACCTTGTGCCGCCGGCACAGCTGCGGGAGGAGCGGGAGTCAATCCCAGAGGAGCCCCCCAACCCCTCCCCTAGAGGAGTCCCCCCAGAAACAAAGCCTGGCCCACCCCCTGCTCGTCCAGCTTGAGGAGCTGCTCGGTGACTTTGGGGGTGCTCAGGGCCAGGCGCAGGCAGTGGATGTTGAGCTCGGGAAGGACGTATTCCAGGGTGTCCCGCAGCGGGAGACCCCGCACCGTGCCGGGCTTGCTGGTGGTGGGAGTGGCGTCCTCCAGGATGGACCCGCGGAGCGTGACCAGCTGGGAGGGGACGGGGAAGGGAACGGGGAAGGGAAGAGGGAAGGGAAGGGGGAAGGGAACGGGGAAAGGAAGAGGGAAGGGAAAGGAGAAGGGAACCGGGAAGGGAACGGGGAAGGGAACAGGGAAGGGAAGAGGGAAGGGAAGAGGGAAGGGAAGAGGGAAGGGAAGAGGGAACGAAACAGGGAAGGGAACAGGGAAGGGAAGAGGGAAGGGAAGAGGGAAGGGAAGAGGGAACGAAACAGGGAAGGGAACAGGGAAGGGAAGAGGGAAGGGAAGAGGGAAGGAAACAGGGAAGGAAACAGGGAAGGAAACATGAAAAGAAACAGGGAAAGGAACATCAGCACCCTGATGGAGCCCCGGGAGGCGGGGACGGACCCACGGCCGCCCATCCCGGCGCCGCTTCCGAAGGGTGTCCCGGTTTGGAGGGCAGGGAGGTGCCGGCAGACCTGGCTGGTGCGGAAGATGAGGCGGTGCTGGTACTGGGGGCCGTGCTCCTTGTGCTCCTCCAGCTTCTCCCGCCGGATGCTCACGGCCACCGGGCCCAGCTTGTCGTCCACGCCGAAGTAGTTGGAATGTTCTGGGGAGGAGAAGCGGGATGAGGGGGATGGAAGGGGGGTCGGGGGGACATGGAGGGTCAGGGGGGACGTGGTGGGGACAGAGGGACGTGGGGGCACACGTGGAGGACACGTGGAGGGACATGGAGGAGACGTGGAGGGACAGGGAAGGAACGTGGAGGGACACGAAGGGACATGGAAAGGAAATGGAAGAGACGTGGAGGGACAGGGAGGGACATGGAGAGAAAGGGAAGGGACACGGAAAGGACATGGAAGACGTGGAGGGTCGTGAAGGAGACGTGGAAGACCTGGAGGGACATGGAAGAGACAGGGAAGGGACACGGAGGAGACGCAGAGGGACACAGAAGAAACAAGGAAGGGACATGGAAGGGACAGGGAAGGGACATGGAAGGGACGGAGAAGGGACAGAGAAGGGACAGAGAAGGGACAGGGAAGGGACAGAGAAGGGACAGGGAAGACATGGAGGTCATGGAGGAGACGTGGAAGAGACATGGAAGACATAGAGGGACACGGAAGAGACGTGGAAGGGACGTGGAAGGGACATGGAAGAGACATGGAAGGGACACAGAGGGACACGGAAAGGACGTGGAAGGGACATGGAAGGGACACGGAAGACATGGAGGGACATGCAAGGGACACGGAGGGACATGGAAGAGACATGGAAGGGACATGGAGGGACAGGGAACAGACACGGAAGGGACATGGAAGGGACATGAAGGGATGTGGAAGGACATGGAAAGGACATGGCAGAGACGTGGAGGGACATAAAAGAGACATGGAGGGACATGGAAGAGACATGGAAGGGACGTAGAAGGGACAAGGAAAACGTGGAGGGACATGGAAGAGACATGGAAGGGACGTGGAGGGACACAGAAGGGACATGAAGGGACAGGGAACAGACACAGAAGAGACATGGAGAGATGTGGAAGGGACATGAAAAGGACATGGAAAGGACACGGAAGGGACATGGAAAACATGCAGGGTCACGGAGGAGACGTGGAAGACCTGGAGGGACACGGAAGGCACACGGAAGGGACACAGAAGGGACGTGGAGAAACACGGAAGAGACACGGAAGGGACGTGGAGGGACACAGAAGGAACGTGGAAGGGCGGACACGGAAGTGACCCAGGAGGAGCTGCCCCCGCCTCCCTTCCCCAGCCCAGCCCTATAAGAGGAGGCTCAAGGGATGTGGGGATGGGGAAGAGCATCCCGGCCCCCCCCGATCCCGCACCTTTGCCGTGGAAGTGGTCGCGGTAGTAGCGGGCGCCCAGGTCCACGTGCTCCACGCTGTAGTGCTTGAGGCGCTCGGGGTTCCGCTGCAGCTCCTTGGGCACCTCCAGCACCGAGATGCCGGCGTTGGTGGGTCTCCCGGCGTGGAAAGGCTCCGGGAAGGCCCCCTCGGCCCCCGGCAGGGCCGGGGCGCCGGCGGAAGCCTTGGAGAAGCTGAGGTCGCGCTCGCCGGCGCCGCCGATCTCGTTGCGGAAGTGGGGGCAGCTGAGGAGCAGTTCGTTGCTGGTGTTGTCGCCGACGTCGTGCTCCAGGTTCTCCTTGGAGTTGAGGTCCTCGGTGCTGGAGAAGGCGGGGTCGGAGCCGGCGGAGGCGGCGGAGGCGCCGGTGGTGGTGTTGCGGCGCTGGGTGCCGGCGGCGCGCTGCAGGGCGGCGGCGTTGAGGTCGAACAGGATGCTCTGGGCGTCGTAGTGCGCGAAGCTCTTCCGGCACGTCCAGCCCTTGCCCGGCTCCGGCGCCCGCGGCTCCTCCGGGTCCTTCCCGTCGCCGTCGTTGCGGGCGCTCCGGAGCTTCCTGAAGATGGATTCGCCGGTGCCGCCGGCGTCGCCCTTGGGGCAGCGGCGCCGCGCCTTGTCCTTGGGCTGCGCCGGCGGCTCCTCCCGCGGCCCGTTCCGACCGTCCGCCTTCGCCCCGGCCAACGACCCCGGCGGGAAGGCGCCGTCGGCGAGGCGCTCCGGCGTGCCCGCGCGCCGCTCCGGCTTCTTGGTGCGGAACTCGTTGAGCATGTCGAAGAAGCTCTGCTCCGAGATGCCCTGCACGTCGATGGACGAGGTGCTCCCGTACTCGCGGAAGAGCCCGGAGGGGCCGCCCAGTTTGGCGCCGCGCGGCTCCGCCGGCTCCTCGGGGTCGCACTCGCTCAGGGTCACCTCGCTGCTGCTGCGGTGCCGCAGCGGCGCCAGGCCCCGCGCCGGCGAGCGCGGCCACCCCTCCTGGAACTCCACGTCCTTGGAGCGCCGCCGCGCCAGGCGGTGCAGGGCTTTGAAGCCGGACACTCCGGCCAGGGGTTGCTGCCCGCCGGGAAAGCCCCGGCAGCCGACGCCGTCCCGGTTGGCCGGCGCTTCCCGCCCGGCGCCGGAATCCTTGGCGGCGTTGGCGGCGTTGGCGTCTCTCCGTGGGGGCCACTCGGCGACGCGGGCGCGGACCCCCATCTTGGGCACGGCCCCGCGCGGGGCGTCGCCCCCCGGCCCCGCCGCCACGGCCCCATTGGGCGCCCAAAAGGCCGCCGGGGACCCCTCGGCATCGGCGCCGTCGTGCCGGGCGGCGCGGTGGGAGCTCATGGTCCGGCGGCGGCGGCGGAGCCGAGCGGAGCCAGGGGGACGGGGCCGCTCATGGCCGGGATGGGATGGACGCCGGGATGGACGCCGGGATGGACGCCGGGATGGACGCTGGGGGGGTCACGGGCGCCGTCCGGGAGCCGCGGAGCCAAATCCCGCGCCGCCGGTGCATGGTGGGCGGCGGTGCCGGAGCTCACGCCGGGCTGGGCCGTGGGGGCCGGGCCATCCTGCGGGGGTGGCAGAGAAGAGGGTTAGTGGGACGCGCCTCCCCCGCTTCCCCCCTATCCCAAATCCACCCTTTTTTAGCCCAAAACCACAACGGAGTCGCCGGTGTCGGCACCGGCCCGCCGGGGGGGTGGCGACTCCGGGTCTGGATCCGTGAGGGATGTCGGGAAGCAAAAAGGTTGAGGAGCACCAGTGGTGGCCCCGTGGGCATCCTGGAGATGCTGGAATATGAGGGCTTCTATCCCTGGATGTTCCTTGGACGGGCTCGGAATAAACAGAAGCTCCACGGAGGTTCCCAAAGGGATTCCGGAATACGTTCCTTGTCTCCATGGAGATTCCTCCAGTGGCCTTGGAACAGGTCCCTGAGATTCTTGAGGTGGTCTTGGAATATGTTCATCTCTCTCTGTTGGGGGTCCTCAAGGGGTCTTGGAATACGTCGACACATGTCCGTGGAGGTTCCTCCAGCGGTCTTGGAATTTCTGGACTTATCCCTGTTGAGGTTCCTCGGGTGATCCCGGAGATTCCTCAGGTGATCCCGGATGTTCAGATGATCCCGGATGTTCCTCAGGTGGTCTTGGAATTCATGGAATCACCCCCGTTGAAGTTCCTCAGGTGATCCCAGAGATTCCTCAGGTGATCTTGGAATTCACGGAATCACCCCCGTCGAGGTTCCTCGGGTGATCCCGGAGATCTCTCAGCTGATCCCAGAAATTCCTCAGGTGGTCTTGGAATTCACGGAATGATCCCCGTTGAGGTTCCTCAGGTAATCCCAGAGATCCCTCAGGTGATCCCAGAGATTCCTCAGCTGATCCCGGAGATCCCTCAGGTGATCTTGGAATTCATGGAATCATCCCCGTTGAGGTTCCTCAGGTGATCCCAGAGATTCTTCAGGTGATCCCAGATGTTCAGATGATCCCGGATGTTCCTCGGGTGGTCTTGGAAATCATGGAATCACCCCTGCTGAGGTTCCTCAGGTGATCCCAGAGATTCCTCAGGTGATCCCAGAGATCCCTCAGGTGATCTTGGAATTCATGGAATCACCCCCGTCGAGGTTCCTCGGGTGATCCCGGAGATCCCTCAGCTGATCCCAGAAATTCCTCAGGTGGTCTTGGAATTCACGGAATGATCCCCGTTGAGGTTCCTCAGGTGATCCCAGAGATTCCTCAGCTGATCCCGGAGATCCCTCAGGTGATCCTGGAATTCATGGAATCGCCCCCGTCGAGGTTCCTCAGCTGATCCCAGAGATCCCTCAGGTGATCTTGGAATTCATGGAATGATCCCCATGAGGTTCCTCAGGTGATCCCGGAGATCCCTCAGGTGATCCCAGATATTCCTCAGGTGATCTTGGAATTCATGGAATGATCCCCATTGAGGTTCCTCAGGTGATCCCAGAGATTCCTCAGCTGATCCCAGATATTCCTCAGGTGATCTTGGAATTCATGGAATCACCCCTGTTGAGGTTCCTCAGGTGATCCCGGAGATTCCTCAGGTGATCCCAGAGATTCCTCAGGTGATCCCAGAGATTCCTCAGGTGGTCCTGGAATTCATGGAATCGCCCCTGTCGAGGTTCCTCGGGTGATCCCGGAGATCCCTCAGGTGATCCCAGAGATTCCTCAGGTGATCCCAGATATTCCTCAGGTGGTCTTGGAATTCACGGAATGATCCCTGTTGAGGTTCCTCGGGTGATCCCAGAGATTCCTCAGCTGATCCCAGAGATCCCTCGGGTGATCTTGGAATTCATGGAATCGCCCCCGTCGAGGTTCCTCGGGTGATCCCGCAGATCCCTCAGGTGATCTTGGAATTCATGGAATGATCCCCATTGAGGTTCCTCGGGTGATCCCGGAGATCCCTCAGGTGATCCCAGAGATCCCTCGGGTGATCTTGGAATTCATGGAATCGCCCCCGTCGAGGTTCCTCAGGTGATCCCGGAGATCCCTCAGGTGATCTTGGAATTCATGGAATCGCCCCCGTCGAGGTTCCTCGGGTGATCCCGGAGATCCCTCAGCTGCTCCCGGGTGCCGCTCCGGTGCTCCCGGCCCTCGTGCCGCTCTCCCCACGGATCCTCCCCCGGTGTCTCCATCCCGATGTTGTCCCGGGGCCGGACAGACGGCCGGCCGGGCGCTGATCCGTCTGGGATGGGCATTAAGCCATCCCGGCTAATCCCGGTGGGAGCCGCCGGCCGGGCGGGGCCGTCAATCAACACCTGAGCCCTTAATTAACGAGGGGGCAGCGGGTGGGAGCCTCTTCCCGGTGCCGATTCCCCGCGTCCCCCGGGAAGGAGCTCCCGACACCCCAACTCGTGGTTTTGGGGTCAAACCGCCCGGTTTTGGGGTCTCGGCGTCGACTTCCCCTTCCCCGGCTCTTCCCAAGGGAAAGACGACACATATTTTGCCTCTTTTCCCAAAAAACCTGGTTTTCCAACGAAAACTCCTCTTCCGGTTATTGGGGAGCCCCAAAATCCCGGGGGGGTGGATAAATCCCGGGATTTTTGCCCCAAAATTGGCGGCCGATGCTCCTCCAGGCTGGGAATTCCCGGATTTCTTTGGATCAATGAAATCCAGCAGGAATATGGAGCAGGCAGGAGCACCTTCCCTCCGGAAACCTCCGGATTTATCCAAAGCTCGGGTTCAAATCCAGCGGCAAAGCCGAAAATCACCAAATTTAGGGATTTTACACCAAATCCTTGGGATTCTGGGAGCATCCACAGCACAATCCTCATCCCTTCGGGATCCCTGGATCCCCGAATCCTTCCAGGGGGATTCTCCTTCCGGGAGCTCCCCAAACATGATTTTGGGTGAAAAACGAGGGAAAAGGTTTCAGCACCCCCGGGGGGGGTCGATCCCGCTCCTCAAAAGACCCCAAAATTGGGGTTTTTCAGCCCAAACCCGTCGCTCCAGGGGCGGAAATCCCCGGAAGCGCCGTCGGGCCCTTCCCACTCCCGAGGAGAGAGAGGGAGGGGAGGTTTTTAATGATTAACCCCAAGTTTTTGATAAATTCAAAAGAGTTGTTTTTTTTTTTAACTCTTTCCCCGCCCTCGGGAGCCGCGGGAGAAAGTCCGGCCACGCCCGGCGCTAATTAAAAACTCCCCCACTTAACGACCCCAAACGAGATGGAATCGCCCCGAAAAAAGTCACCGCCGGGGATTTTTCCCCAAGTGGGAAAAAAAGTCATTCCAGGACTTTTTTTTTTGGGGGGAGTGAAAGAACCTCCCCAAAAAAACGATGGTTTTGCCGCGGGAAAGAGCGAAAAACCCGGGCGAGGAGGGAATTGGGGAGTCAATTAATTAATTAATTAATCGGGCGGGCGGTAACTTCGTGATTAATTAGGGGGCGTTGAAAGGCAAATAATCCCCCGTTCCTGGGCAATGGGAACGTCGTTAAAAGGGGGGAAAAAAGCCAGGGAAAAGTGGGATGAAGCCGAGGCCGGGCCCGGCTCTGCGGTGCTTTTATCTGATGGCGACGGCTTAATTAGCGCTAATTAAAGCAAAGGTTTGTCAACACGGCCCCAAAGCCACCCCAATTCCCACTTGCCTGAGCTCCGGCGACGCCGAGATGGGGGGGGTGGGAAAAGTGCCCCGAAATCCCGGGCTAATTCCCAAGGGCGGAAGGAGGGAGCTCGTTAAGGAGGGAGCTCGTTAAGGAGGGAGCTCGTTAAGGAGGCTCCGCCCCCCCCCGCTTAATTAATTTGGCCCCTTGGTCAGGCTCAGTGCGGGTTTGGGGGGCTGTGGGAACACGTCGGGGCCGGAGCCCCAGGAATTCCCGGCGGGAAGGGGGGAAGCTCCTCACCGGGATCCCCCGGAATTCCCGGCGATCCCACGGAATTCCCGGCGCCCAACTCGAGGGAAAAGCCTGGATCTGAAGGGAAAACGAGGAAGAAATAAGTGTGTTAATTAATAAGGATTAAGGGATAATTATCTGAGCGTTCCCGGGTTTGGTGGGAATTCCCGAAGGGTTAAATCCCGGGGGGGGGGTTGGATGAGCAAATTATCGGGAATTTTGGAGGGATTGGGGGGGAAAATGAGCCCGGGAAAAGGGGTCGGGGGGGTTAAAAATCGGGAGAGGAGGGTTGGGAATGGGAATGGGGCTGCTGGGGAAGAGGTGGAGGGAGGAAAAGGTGGAAAAGCGGCGGAAAAGAAGGAATGAGTCCTAAAAATAAGGGACGGGAAAGGAAGGAGGGGTTGGAAAAGAGACCCCCAAAAATAAGGAATGAACCCAAAAATATGGAAAAACTCCCGAAAATGCAAAATAAAGCCCATGAAAAATAAGAAGTTACTCCTAAAAAATAGGAAATAAACTCCGTAAAAACAAGAAATTACCCCCAAAAATAAGAAATAACCCCCCAAAAATAAGAAATAA